TGATATCGTTGCCTTTGAACAGGGACCGTCAGGGATCAACTCCTTATACTCATTTGATGGTTATCAACAGGACGACAGACCATGGTATGAAACGCAGTTCAATTTTCCTATACATTATCGAGGCAGCTAGCATTTGACACACTTTCACAGAGTTTTTAAATAACGCGCATTAATTATATTACCGTGGGTTGCCGTTGTAATATTTTGTGCAAGCAACTTTGCTGAACCAAGAAAGAATAATATATGGGACTTATCTTAGGCGTTGGCCGGGATATGTGAATTTTCAATCGATTGTTTGAAACGTCATCGAGACAATCAAGTCCACGCGCGACAGCCTCAAAGAAAAAAAAGCGACTGTTGAATTCTCTCTTGAAAACACTGAATAAAAGTTTGCGGTCCTCTCCGGAAACCACTTCCGTTTAATAGTTCTAGAAATAGCTTTGGTGAAATTCACACATCCCAAGGGCTAGACCGGGCGTTTCCGTCTCTGTTCCCCTCTCCTGACTGAACGTATGAAAAACGCACAAAGGACAGACGTCCGAGGCTACATTGCAGGTGCTAGCCTTCTTAGCAAACACTTGCTACGCAGTCCAGGCAGGAATATAACCCGCGAGATAAGTAATGCTCGCGAAAGATGAGGACGCGCGCGAGGAAAGGGCCAGCGCCACCGTTCTTATTTCCGCCCTTTATTTCTCGTACGCCTGCCTCAGGCTAAGGACAACGTCACTGGTCACAGACGGGATTTGAAGTTGACATCTGATTGGCTGAGGAGTGAGAGTTGCGTCACGTCATTACGGGGAATGCTGTAAGGCGAAAAGGGATTCGCTGCTAGTGTGGCAAAGGCGTGTTGATTTTTAGGGGCTCTTCAAAAACCAATCGCAGACGAAAGTACAGCAAGCATTTCTGGGCAATACGAACATATTTATGCCTTTTTTAAGCGGATGGTGGTGTGAATTATCTCTGGACTTAAGTAATATGGCTGCAAAAATGCTGTTAAATAGACTGGTGTAGACTCAACTGAAGACAACACCAACTCTACACAAAAACGTATCAGGGTACTAGCATGATCACACTTCTTTTGACTTTTTGCTTTTGCTTTCTACCTCAGGTATGAAATCGACGAGTTTGATTGACGTTCGACAGTAGTACACAAAAGCCGATGGACCAACCTCACTCGGGACGCGATGGATTGGAATGGTGCTCAGAGAAGTTCATGTTTCTTGGCGGAGCGGAAGAGCGGTCGAAATATATCTGGCACGTCCTGTCAGTGGCACTCCCTCTTTGGACAAGGATCTGCGGTGACATTCACAGTTAGAATGACTTTTAGTATGAAAAGATAACAGTTACAAATGAATGTAAATATGATGGTTTCGTTAACTTATTCTTCAGAGGTATAATATCTTGATTGTAAATAAAATGGAAAATATTATTGACACGTAATTAAGATTTCTTGATGAAAAATTGCGTCTATTTCTTTAATTATCCCTACTGAAATACGTGTGATAGTCTGGCCTGTACCTTTCCATAGAGAGCTTAAGCAACGAAGACGGCGACGGCTACGAAAACGGTACTTAAAAAGTGACTTCGCACTGCTTCAAACTTTCTTGCGCTTAGTCCATCTCGCTCAATTCGTCAAATGTTGGCAAAAAAAAGCGAACACGAATGAATACGACATTTCCTCCATAACTGCCCTGCGAACAGAGTTCTCTCTCTCTCTCTCTCTCTCTCTTGCATGGCTTTTAGCGTTAACGAAGTTGTTCGCGTCGCTTGTGACTCGCGTAGCTTGGACTGACAAAGGACGCGAACAACTTTGTGGACGTTATATGCCATAGATTCAAACGACAAACCAAAGAAAGGGTTCGAACCTTCTCAACTAAATTTCGCCTTTAGTTTTTATTTGCCAAAGACTGAAACGTGTGCTTGAATCACGAAGAAACGGATTCATCATATGAAAAAAAGGACCACAAATTTTGCTAACCATCATGTGATGGATGCTCTGCCTTTACGAATACGGCAGATCTTCCGTCCGATCCGTGAAAAAACTTAATTCGTTTCCGCCGAGAAATAAGCAGTTGCTTATGGGATAACAGGAATCGGAAATGATTACTATTCAGTTACTTAACTTTGATCCTTTTCATAACATTCTATTTCGCAATACCTAATTGGTAACTAAAACAAACAAGGACGCAAGCTAAGGATTTTGCAAATATTGCTGAACTTTGTAATTCCCTATCGAACTAATCAAAAAAGACTTTCATTGACAATCTTGCAAAATATCTTCGGCAAGGCAAAGCTCCGTACGGAGGATTCAAGAAGATTGCACATGCAACACTGAGAATTCCGACCCTCATTTAATAAATCCTTAAATACCTTCGTGTTGTGCAAACAGAATTGTGAAGGTGCTAATCCTCTTACCTAACGCTGAAGAAACTTATCAAACAAGATTTCACATAACTCATGTCAGAATTTGCACGTTACAAGAAGATTGACAATTTGCGGACAACTGCATGAAAGGTCGACGAAATGTTCCTGTCAGTTAATGCTTCTTCTTTCGCTTTTTTTAATATTGTAGTTTGTAACGCTACAGTGTTGACACCCTCCATCCTTAACCATACTTTTTTCGTTTTTTATAGTTTATCAGTATTACCCCTTGCGTTTTTTTCTACTAATAGTTTGAGGTTTCTTTCATATTCAAGTTCATTTTGAACGCTGTTAAATATTGACTCGGCATATCGTGATATAGCCACATTAATCTCAGTTTATAAACGCCATTATACTAAGGTAATATTTGAATAGCTTTTCAAAGCTTCTTCCCAAGGTCGATGGCTTCCATTAGGTCACTGACCCCATCATTTTAAGCTTCATAGCTGCGTAATGCTTACTCCTAGCTAAACAGTCAATTAGAGAGAGGTCATTTCACATTTGACTCTCATGCCCAGAAATTGATACTACAAACACTTGCTCACCGTTAGACCGCGGTGTGAAATAGCACAGATTTAAGCTTATCAGATTCGTACTGTTTTTTTTTTTTGCCATTGAAGATTCGTCGCAGTTTCCAAATTTTCCCACGGGGGGTGCTGTACATAGGGGGAGTGGCATCATGAAGAACGATAGCTAACTGTCACCACCCAAAAAGACGATTTTGACAAAAGATTACAAGTGTAGTAAACTTTTAGACGTGATGGACTGCTTTTAAGTGTGGTAGAATGATACAAATCCCTTCTCACAGATCGTACTCATTCTTCATAAAAAAAGCATAGCAACAAAATAAAAAAATTACCAACATTGACATGAAAGCGTAATTCACTGAAATAAAAGCCGCTGTTTTAATTGGGATTCTTAAACCAAATGAAACGATCATTCAAGGACAGTCTACATTAACTTTAAGCTACCTTTTACTTCAATTTACTCATGATTCATTTCTTGTTGTTTGGTGATACCTGAGAATAAACATCAATTTAAAAGACCAATATGTGACGAGCAAGAATCGCGTGAAACTGTTTCATTTTGCTACTTATTATACAAAAAAGTGATCAGAACCGCACTAAGTCAAGTATGGATTAAGTGTACTTTCCGCATTGTTTAGCATTTTATCATGCTCAACACTCTGGTTATTTAGCACTATGACTCCAGTTTATCCAATAGTGGTGTCAGACCGGGGGGGTACCCAACAAAGTCTTACACGCAGAGGCTCCGCACCTAAGTCCAACCCTTTAGCTTTTTTGGCACAAAAAGTACCCCTTTCGTATATCTTCTATTAACAAATGGCTTCCCTTCCACATACATAGTTAAAAACTTTGCATCCCTTGAACTGATGTAAATGCACTCTCTCTACGATCTGAATAAATCTCAAACTAGAACGTCTGCTCGACGTTTTCACAGCCATATAATGCATCCGTTAGGGCTTTAGGGCCTTTTACAGACCAAAACGACAAAATTCCTACCCTTAATTTTCATATACTTCAACTAGTGAAATCCCACTCTTACCAAATACCTGAAACTTGAAAAAGGTACCCCTTTCTGGCGGAGCCTCCCCCTAAAAGCTGTTATATGGAGTACCCCCGGGGGTGTCAGATCGGCAGCTATAGCTGAGTAGGTCTGCTTAGTAGCCTTGACAGATCCCAGTGGGTGATTTGTGGAGGCTTGTTCTGGGGTTCTAGTTAAACTTTGAGGATTTTACTTTGAATCGTCACGAAATTGATAGAGGTCGTTGTAAAATGTCGTACAATATGAATGATTGGGACGATACCATGAGATCCAAAAGCACCGAAACACTAGGAATTAAAAAGAGTAGAAAGGAGAGCGATGATTCACGATCCGACACCGGCTTCCCAAGAACTAGGACATACCTAGTTGTTTCCCTAGTGCTCATTGCCATGTTGGTCATTGCTTGCGTTGTGCTGAGCATTTTCCTCGCTAAAGAAGTGAAGAAGAAGCAGCAGCAGACAGTCAAAGGAAGGCCACCACCGTCCGGTATCACACAGAAGGAGTATTGTTACACCGCTGAGTGCCTAAGAATTGCAGCTGATTTCACCAGGAACTTGAACAGGTCTGTCAATCCTTGTGATAATTTTTATCAGTATTCTTGTGGTTCTTGGATAAGAGACCACCCCATTCCCCCTTCAAGGACCATGTACGACGCTTTCATTGTACTAGATGAACAGAACTTTCTGAAATTACGAGATATTTTAGAGGAAGATGACAACTTGCCTAGCAAGCACGCAGTGAAGAGGGCAAAGAGATATTTCAAGGATTGCATGAATGAAGAGCAAGTAGAAAACACCGCTCAACAAAGTATCGAACAGTTCATGGCCAAATATGGCTCCTGGGCTTTGAATAATCAGACGTGGAACTCTACAAACTGGAAGTGGTCGAACGTTTTATTAGCTATGACATTAGATCTTGAAGAAACGCCCCTTTTTGGTACCTACCGTGATATCAACCCAAAGGAGTCATCTCGACATATATTAAGGGTAAGTAAACTTTTTTGTTCTCGATAAGTTATATATTGACGTGTTTTCCGATACAACATTGCCAAAAATGATCTCGTGAGAAATCGTCAATCTATAAGAGCGAGTTACAGTATCTTTCTGAACATCCAAATGTACCAAACGTGCCGCACTCCGGAACACTGCCCACGAACTTCAGTAACACTTAACGAAATAAAAACCAGTGAATCGCAAAATTGGTTATCAGCGTCCACTTGTGCACTTAAAATAGGCTGGGTAATACAAAAAATTACAACAACATTTGTATGACCTTTTTTTAATAGACATTTTAATCGGCAACACGAAAAAACAAAATAGCCCCGGTAAAAGTTGAACCTTTATAGCAACAGTCCACTAACTAAATTTTCAATTACATCGACTTGCAACGTGATTTTAAAAAAAGCAAGGTGAAATACAATTAAATTATATAGTAGAACACTTAATTAATACATCATGTAAAACTGACTGTAATATGTGGAGGCAAAAGGATACTCAAGGTCTCTTTTTTAATGCGTATGTCCCCATAAAGTTGAGTTTTTTAACTTAGAAAAGGATCTTCAATTGTTAACTCCAGGAGAGGGCCTTATTGTGTACATGTATCGCAGGTCTTAACAAAAAAGGTCACATTAATTAAGTAACCCACTTTGCGATCAACCGTAAAAACCGTTCTGGATTTTTGCTCATCGAAACTTCTGATTGTCCCCTATGCACGCCGCACTCCACTTGGAGAAACTATCATGTCAAGAATTTAAAATGTTGAAAAGAAATGAAAGCAATTCATGTGTATATAGATATATATGTGTGTGATATACAACAACGCAAAAGAGTGAAGGACATTTAACACTTAACTGATACCACTGAAAAACGATCAGTGGATATTAATAGATTTGACCAATGGGTAAAAAAATGGATTCTACGAGAGCACTCTTATACAGATTCCCTGGTGCAAAGGTTAGTACGTAATGTTTCGTGCTGTGTTTCTACTATGTGCACAGGACAATTTATTATGCTTTTTGACATGACTGGAACATACTAGACATAAAGGAGCTTCTTTCAAAATTTAATATGTAAGATTTTTCATTCTCTTTCTCAATTCCATACTCCATTACAAAAAAATGTGAGTCGAAAGCATTCATCGTTACGTATTTGGATTATCTGCATGGCTAACAACTGGTTTAACACTGCCTTCTGAAATTTTGTTCGTTTCCTTTGGCTTTTCTATTTGAGCCTTTCCGAATTCTGCTATAGAGCCAGGACTCTATGGTGAGCGGTAGTTGATTCAATGTCTGCTATTTTCCAGCCCAAAAAAAAAGTAAAAATCACTTGCGTTAATATAATAAATCGTTGATCTCTGAAGAGTTAAGAAGTGACTGTTGTAGAAGATGATTAAAGGAGCTTGTAATAAAAACAAACCGCCCACGTTTCAAGGTCTTGGAAATTGCTTCATCAAAAGGAAAAGCCCAACTTGTCGAATATTCGTTTTCCCTTACGTCAGGGTCTGAAAGGGTTTTGCGTGATCCGTGCATTGACCGGTAAACAAAACGTGAATCAGGAAAACTCATGAAATACAGTCGTGATTCGTGGATTATATATTCACTGTGACGCGTGATCCTCTAACATTTTGGTCCGTGAATCGAGATTTCTGCCGCTTAAAGAGATGTAAGTGTCGTGACGAGGGTTCGTAGTGAAAAATTGTGGAGCTTCGATTTTATAGCAATAAAATTCATTGCCTAGAACTTTGTAGTGGTCAAACAAAAAGCAGAGAATCGCCAGTTTGATCAGCGCCATAATTTTTGTTTCCTTCCCATCACAGGGTCACTTAAGACAAACTCTCGCCTATAGTAGTCCAGCAACCACTAAGAATCGTTGATGGACTTAATAAGTTCGTCACCTAATCACGTGATTCGTGAAATGACTCCAAAAGGTAACGTCATTCGTGAATGTACGGAAATTCAACCCGTGATTCGTGATCGACACCCCCTTCCAGACCCTGTTATGTCAAGACAGCACAAATGCTAGTTAGGACTCCCGTGACGTTTGTGCTGGTTATAAAATAAACATTTGCAATCATTTGTACCAAATCAACTTTCAACATGGGCTCCTGCTTTCAGTGATGCTCAAATTGAACCTTTGTAATGACCTCCGCAGTTCTTAGTTTGGATGCGGGTGTTTCATGAGTTTTCAGCCTATCTCTTTGACCTCTCTTTAGCACGCCATCCCAAACGGAATACACACTTTTGACGCGGGTCATTTTTGACATCTGCCGACTAGTTTCCTTGGGATTGATTTAAAGTGCAGTGTGATTTGACATTCATTGCCAAATTGGTCATAGCATTGACAAGGGCGTGGCGTCCTTTACACAAATACGTACGTGCGTACTTGAGAAATTGGTAGGATATTTTAAAAAAGATTTTTTGTCTATCCCCCAATACATTGCTTTTGAATAAAACAAAAAGGGAGAAGGACTGAGGAAATTCATGGAAACGCATTTAGTCGCCGCAAAGAATCGATCCTGACTGATAATTATTCCTTTAAAGATTTATCTGGAACGTTTTCCCATTCAAATTAAAGCTATTCATTCTTAGTTTGCTCTCACTATATAAATGTCGCTTAAGTTGGAAACTATGTTTTCTTTTTGTAGTCTTCTTTTTCCCTCAACACGGAGCCTGATCCCAGGCTACTTTAGGCAGACCTCCTTCAGAGTTCACGTTTCTGCTGCATTCATTTTCCATCGCCCAGGGAAGGATGGGGTTACGACAACTTTTTCGAATTTCCGAGGTGGTTGCTTATGAGAGCTTCGTTTATCTTCAGATATCTTTTAGAGCGATTTTTATATTTCTTGATTAACGAGAACGAACTTTCTTTGAAAACAGGCTAAGTACGTTGAGACCGTTTCTATGTTGCGTGACTATGCTAATTAGTCCCTGTTATTTAATATCTGAACGCATTTTTTATTTGGGTGTGAGCGGGGAAACATTTTGCAAAGCCGAGAGTGATTCTTCCACTTCCTAAATCTTTAACCATATATCCAATTTCAGCGCCGACGTATTCAAAAAACATACCTTTTGGCGCCGCTGATAACCATCTACCATATTCGGTGTATAATTACTATATATGGATATTAGAAGATAAGGGTGAGGGGTAGCTATTTTTTTAATGATTTCCCAGTGAGAACGGGCAACCATGTCCTCCCTAGGCTGCAAACAAAGCAGATTTTACCCTCCTCAAGATGTCAGATTTTTTAATGATGATCACGAGCAACGCATATTTGCTTTGTATGTTATGGCAATTACTAAACTATAGACCGTTTTGTGATACTCACATTGGACCAGGACTGGTGGAGTCTTCTCTTACGGTGATTCCTTTAGTAAAAGAACCTAACATAGATTGTAGATGAAATCTGGTACACGGATGTAACAAGTCAGAAAGAAGATAAAAAAGTAATAAAAATGATGGTCACCGTGCTTGTTTTGACGTCACAATGCTGATAAATACGGCTATTTAGGACATTTGACAAGAACCCTGTGCAGCCCAAAAGTAAACAAAAGGGAGAGGTTGTTTCGATGATGCATGTAGTATCGCACAGAATTTGACTTTAATGTATTGTTTATCCACTTACACACCAGAAAAATGCCTTTTAATGCCCTTGTTTCTACTTTACGCTTCAAAGTAGATTTAAATTTGGACACGCGCTATTCGACCCTTGATAGCTCAATCCGTACAATTTAGTAAAACTGCCAAAAAACTGAACATAGATTTGTGCCAATCTTTTTCTCATCGAAAGGAAGCACTGTCTTTATTAAAATCATGAAATAAAAAATGGTGGTCACCGTACTCGTTTTTGCGGTAGAGCTGCAGAAAGTGCGCACCACATGCATTCTCTGCGATTTTTGAGAGAGGACTGGGGCGAGATTCAAAATGGCATGTATGTGAAAGGGGGGAAAAAGTAATAAAAAATCCGTTTTTACAGAATTTACATCGAGATATCACACTTAGGACACAATGTGATAAAGAAAGCGTTTAAATGAAAATCAAAGTGAGTAAGTACAAGTTTAACATCCACTCGGCGAGGTTCTCTGTGAGGACGTCGAACTCAGCAACACGTTTACTGCTTCCGTTATGCACATTCCTAACACACTGAGTCTCATCTCGGCAAGGAACAACCGCAAGCGAAAATTCCAATAGCGTTTCTCTTCAGTCAACTTTATTTTGATAATGTTACTTTAGACGCTCTTTATTACGCGTAGTAAGAGATGCGCAGTGCAAACCTTAAGCGTATTTAACTGTGAAAAAGAGAGCTGGACGAAGGCTTAAAGACGTATCTCTCGATAGTTACTACGTTCTAGTTGACCGCTTGAACTTTCCGTTCTCACTTTCGTACAGCTGGACTGTAACACTTTTTATAACACGGTTATTTCTAAAACGATGTCCGTTCGTTTACTAGAACTGTGTGTATCACAGGTTTTTGCCACGGGTTCCTAATTTTGTTTAACGGTCAATTCGCGAATGACGCGTAGCACTGCGTAGGAATCCGCTCAGCTGCCATGCAGTAAAAGTCGTGACATATGATTGGCTATTACTTAACCCTCCTGGGAATCAGGGTTCTCAGAGGAGATCTCAAAACAACTTAAGAGGAGTTTACAATGGTGATAAGGGGCCTAAATGGACTATGTGGGCAACCTCTCTTCTCTTCCTTTCATCCTCTTGTATGGTTGGCTTTGATTCACAGCTGGAGTATGAACCACGGGTAAGTTCTCTCTTGAAGCTGGAGCTCGAAGGGCTGGTGTTACAACAGGCATATCAGTCGTTTTCTTGGACTAAAACTTCCGCTAGTTTTGGAGACTGGGTTCGCTACGTAACTCTCCGCGCAAAAGTGAAGGTATGAACCGTGGACGTAGTTGTTCTTGTTGTCGCTTCCAGATAATGGCCTCGACTTGGACGTCCAAAATCCTGGGACTAACTTTCTGGGATTACGTAAACGTTGTTTGGTGGTCAAGTCAAGGTTATCCTTA